AATATATAGCTTAGTGTTATAGGGATTAAAATAGAAGAAAAGTCATTGCTGAGAGAGGATAATGAGGACTATAATCAAATAAGATGTAATGATAAAAGTATCTCCATACTTTTAGTCTCTTTTTGGAATTAAGAGACATTTTTATATATACTATTTCTTTGTTCCTCACCAAAACAAAATTTGTGAGATAGGAAATAAGACTAAAAAGCTGACTTTCTGTTTGGCAGTGAATACTACACTTGATTTTAAATTAAATACATTCAACTATTATTGGGTATAAAAAGTAGAACTAATATTACTATACAATTGACTTCAACTATACAAGGCAGAGAGAACTTAGTTGCCTTGACTCTTTAATTGCATGAGCTTAACTTACTGGGATGATCTGTTTGAGCTGTCTGTAGAATTGTTACCTCTCCAACTCACGCTTTTCTACATAAACACAATATAAGAGTAAAAGATTATACTTCTGAACTCGCCAGCAGGACAAACTTACTAAACTCCCAACAACTACCGAATAGAGTGCAAAGAAAGTTTAGGAGGGGGGACATAACACACACCCTTCTTCTATAAACATTAGTTACATGTACCAATAAGATACTGAGATTAAGAGTAATTGGGATTCCTGTCAAAATAAAATTCAATTCCCATCTCTTTCCTTAAGACATCATTCTACTAAAGGAGACCACTGAACAGAGGAAGAATTAACTGGCTCCTTTTAAGTTTGGTCATTACAAATGCAAAATGAGTATCCTTCTGCAGACAGAGAGCCAGAGGACTACTCAAGCTAACACAATAATGGTAGCTGTGATAAATTATGTATGCAGGATATCAAACGCTGAATGGAGGGAAGAAATGGAGAACCCATTTGAAAATTTGGAATTTGCTCAAAGCTGCTTCTGCAATGATTCCCAGGAGGATAAGCACTCAGCACAGAGCAGTCATAAACGCCGCAGTTCTGTATAATTTATCAACTTTTTTTCCTTTTTATTTCTAACAGTGACCCCTCACGGTTAACTGAAGAAACAAAGAGCTAAATGGCTTCCTTCACTATTTGATAGAGCAATTATGAGCATCCTGACCAATACATTTTCTGCTTAATCTACTAACGAATGGTATCCAGTTTCCTCTTCATGTGCACCCTATCTCTCCACTTGGCTCGATGTGTGCAGAGCGCTGCTTTCCCTGCCCTTGTTCTTGCGCCCCTCTTCATTTGTTTCCTTCTCATTACAGCTCTCTTATGTGATGGTTATATTAGAAGAAAAGAGAATTCTTTATGACAATTTTCTTCAGCTGCCCTTGGTTAATTTTTTTCAAAATGTGATTCCTCTGGGTTCTCAGACAGTAGGGCACATTGAAAGCTAATCAGTAGGCTCTTTCTTAAGTACCTTTTCAAAGAAATTTTATGTTTTAGGGTGAGAGGATTGTTTTTCACAGTAATAGATAGTATAATGTGATGCAGCCGTCTTGAAAGAGGTCAAGACTGTTTAAAAATGAAGGATAATAAGAAATTAAAAATTGAGATTTACCTCAGGCACTAATTTTCCCCCACTGCAATTGCCTTTGGTTCCTTATACATTAATCCAGGGGTCCTCAAACTACGGCCTGCAGGCCACATGCAAATACAAACATTGTATTTGTTCCCATTTTGTTTTTTTACTTCAAAATAAGATATGTGCAGTGTGCATAGGAATTTGTTCATAGTTTTTTAAAACTATAGTCCGGCCCTCCAATGGTCTGAGGGACAGTGAACTGGCCCCCTTTTTAAAAAGTTTGAGGACCCCTGCATTAATCTCTCATATAAGGATACTCATTTAGGGCCAATCTTGGGATCCCTTAGAATAAGGGAATTTTAGAGCCGGAAGGATTGCTGAACTCATCCCTTTAAGCCCTTTGTTTCTTGGGTAAAGAAACATCCTGGAAGATCAAGGAGGTTAGGTGACTTACCCAATGTCACATAGCAGTAACTTGGTTTGAGCTTCCTGTTGTGTTTTGCTTTGAAGGGAGGAGGGGAGTGGGAGAGCGTTTTCTATCCTATGATAGGAGCAAATGGCTGTAATCCTTGGGTCTCTGCATTTGCTCATCTGCATGTTACAGGTGATGATACTGCCCTCTTTACCTCAAAGGGTTTCCCATTACTAATCTATTTTAATGAAACCCCCCTGCTGGTTTGTGTGTGTGTGAACATCATCCTTGTGTGGCACATGCTCTGCTATGGATAAGGCACTTAGGAGTATAAGGCTTTGTGGGTAGCTCCCATGTTCCTAAGTGTTGAGAATCCATGGAAGGAATGGGCCTCAGGGAAGACCACAGGACTCAGAGAAATAAGAGGGAGTGGAATTCCAGCTCTGTAAGAAAATATGAAAGATTGTGTTCCTATGTGATACACTTAAGACAATGCCTGCCTCTTAAAGCCAAAGGTCTGGTGAAAGAAGGAGGCATCACAGGAAAAGCCATAACCTACACATAAGTAATCTAGTCTCTGAAGGCTGGAAAGTCTGGCTGCAGGACTGTACAGATAATTTGTGTGGCCCAGTTCAAAATAACATGGGGCCTCTTATTCAGAAATTATTAGGAATTTCAAGTCAGTGACAACAAAGCATTAAACCACTCTTGGGCCCTTCTGAGCACAGAGCCCCATGCTAATGCACAGGCCACAAGCCCTGTCTGATCACAAGTACTTATTTTGACAAAGTCTAGTCCAAACACACCCAATAAAGTCTTTACTTAGCAGGTGGTCTTGAAGAGTCCTGTTAAAAGATAGAATAGTGCTTTTTGGAGAGTGGTTTGACTATGGGGAGAAGGCAAGAACCTTCATGGAGGAGGTGGATCTTAGGGTCAGGAGCTGAGACCCTGAGATCCAGAAGACCGTGTGTTTGTGGGAATTCTTCCTTCACAGCCATCTAAGAGGATCTGGGCTCTGTGCTTGAAAGAAGATGCGATTTCCTTTACACTATTATGGAGAGCTGACCTTGAATACTAGAAGATAACAAGAGGCAGGGTCAGGGTCGGGGTCTCCTATTCTCCACAGTGTTTCTGGCATCTGCAGTGCCTGGCACATTGTTGGTACTCAGTAGATATTTGTTGATGATGAAACATGGCTGGTTACCTTAGTGTAAGAATTTAGTGGAGCTCCTAGCCCTGAAAGGAAGATCTGAGATTCAGAGTATAGAGGTATCTCTCGGGGGGAAAAAGGGAAAGTTTTGAAACATGTTAATACTGCAATTTAAGAAAATATTAGCCTTCCCAAACATGGAGACTTTTAGTATTATTTTGCATAAAAACTAATTATAAATTATTTTATAGATTTGTTAAATACAAGATTTTCTAAAACATTTAGTTGTATTTTTGCTATCAAGATCACTTAAAAATAATGGCACTGCACTCTTTCTTTTTTTAAGTTCTATTATTTAGGGAATATAGTCAGTGATAGAGTGCAGGGAGAAACCGGAATAAGGCACAGAAAGCTGAGAAGAAAGACCTAGAACAGTGATGGCAAAACTTTTGAGCTCGGCGTGCCAGCATTTTGAAAAACCCTAACTTAACTCTGGTGCTGTGTCACATACAGAAATTTTTTGATATTTGCAACCATAGTAAAACAAAGATGTATATCTTTGATATTTATTTCATATATTTAAATTCCATTTAAAAAAGAAAAATCAACCAAAAAAATGAGTTCGCGTGTCACCTCTGACACGCGTGTCACCTCTGACACACATGTCATAGGTTCGCCATCACTGTCCTAGAAAGACAGAAAGAAGGGGGGGAGGAAGGGAAAGAGGGAGGGAGGGAGGGAGGGAGGGAGGGAGGGAGGGAGGGAGGGAGGGAGGGAGGGAGGATACTGTGGTGACACATAGGAGAAACATGTAAGCCAGCCCTGAGTGATCAGGAAAGACTTTCCCAAGGAACCTAAGATCTAAACGACAGGAATTAAACCAAGGCCTGGGAGGAGGGGAGATGGGAGCATTAATAGACTGGCTAACATTTATTGAGTATTACTATGTGGCAAGCAGTGTTCTAATTACTTTACGTGCTCATTTACTCCTCACAGCAGTGCTGTGGGGCAGGCTATTAGTATCCTATTGGGATATCCTTTATTGGTGTCCCAGATCTGATAAATGAGGCACAGAGTTATTTTTTCCAAGCTATAGAAACCTTATGCTTCCAGCCCTGAAGCAAAACTGACTGTGGCATATTCAAAAGAACCACAAGTTGTTTTGCGTGCTAATGTCTGTATATGTGGCCATTGGGGATCCGGTGAAGTTGCTTTGGAGAGAAGCAAAAGACATTCACATGTCTTTTAAAAACATGTGAATGATGATAGGGACCCATTAAAGTATATTAAGCCTGAAGGTAACATGATCAAATTTTTGTTTGGAAAGACCACTCTGGCATCAGTATGGGGAATAAACTGATGCAGGAACAAAACTAATAGTGGAGAGAACATAACGCTCTAAAAGAAAGAGCATGACCTGAACATAGGCAGTAACAAATAACAGTGCCGAGAAGTAGGTGGATTCTAATAGCATTTTGGAAATAGAATTTTACTGGCTAATTGGATGTTAGGGGAGGGATAGAGCCAAGGATGAAGGACTCCAAGGTTTCTGGGTTGGGTGACTGCAGTGGGCATTAGGGGAGCCATTCACTGAGAGAGCTGCAGGAGAGGAGAGAGGAGAGGATGAGGATGGGTTGATAGTTAACAAATGTAACCAATATCTTATGGATATCAGTGCATAAGAATATGAATCAAATGGCAGTCAAAACCAATGTAGCCCTAGCCAATTTGGCTCAGTGGATAGACTATCAGCCTGTGGACCAAAGGGTCCTGGGCTTGATTCTGGTCAAGGTCATGTACCTTGGTTGCAGGCTTCTCCCCAGCCCAGGCCTTGATTGGGGCTCGTGCAGGAGGCAACCAAACAATGCGTTTCTCTCACATGGATGTTTCTCTCTCTCCCTCTTTCTTCCACTCTCCCTAAAAATCAATGGAAAAATATTCTCAGATGAGGATTAACAACAACAACAACAACAACAACAAAACCAGTGTTATTTTGATCACCTACTGTGAAAGCTATCAAAAAAGTAAGCCAGTTCTTGAATAATGGGGAGAACAAGTGAAGTTTCTATGATTCTGGTCAGTCTTAATTATAACTGGTATAATGAGTATGAAAAAGATTTTGTAAATTTAAAAATGCTACCTTTCATCATCATCATTATTATTATTATCATTATCATTACTTATTATTATTATTATCATTACTTATTAACATTCTTCCTTTTATCCGGTTCAAACCACCTGAATGACCTCTTTTACCTATCCTTCTATGGAAAACTTTTTTCCTCTTTTACTTTTCTTTCTTACCTTCCTGTCCCCTACTTCCAGGTTCAATGGCAGGTAATTTGGGTGGAGTTAAGTGGTTTTGTCTGCTCTTGTCAATCAATAAACAAGTATTTAAGAGTCTCCCAGGTGAACATCCAAAGCTGGATGAGTGGCATTGAAATCAAGGGGCCATGTTCTTTGGGGTCACAAAATTCTGCATTTGAATCCTCCTTCCACATTTTCCTTCCACATGCCCTTGGGTAAATGATCTGCTCATCTCTCTTCAGTTTCCATCAGAAAAAAAAAAATGGATAATATTTCACAAGTCTGTTGTATTTCATGAGATAATAAATGTGAAAGAAACTAACAGAGAGCTTAGTGCTCAAAAACTGTAATTCCTGTCCACTTCATAAGGCTGTTGCCCAGGATAAATGAGCTAATACTCAAAAGACGGTCATGGAATAATTCTGCTATATAAGTTCAGTCATTTTTAATGAACTTTGCTACTATTGTTTCTGTTATTGTTTTTATGGGTACCAGGGGCTTGCAGTAACCACGTCTACAAGCCTTTGAGCAGTACTTGGACGAATCTTTATTATTTTTTTTTAATTTCCTTATTTCTTTGTTTCAGCTTGGGAATCATTTCCTTCTTTGCTTAGTGCTGCTTTGGAGAAACTGCCAGATGTCTTTACAATTTGTCGCTTCTGGCCACATACTCTGTTATGTAGACATTCTGCTTTGTTCAGCTAAGATGCCGCGTTTATTAAAGCTTTAGTAATCTGGAAAAACGATAATTATACTGCTCTTGGAACGCAACATGAAAAACACTGAAATATTAAAAACTGGAGATGAAGGCGGGCTTAAAATCACTGTAGGTCTTTTACCTTTTTTTAATTAAAAAACTTTCACTCTATATAAATTGTCTATTACCAGTCTGACTGCTCGGATGAAAGATTAAGATCCCCATAATAGCTGGCATAGCTAAAAGGAAGGGACTTTGGTGTTGAAAGAGCAGCTAACTTCTCTCAGTTTAACAGTGGGGTCTAGAAGGACTGGATGGAGTAGTTTCTCTCTAGTTTATATTTCTGGACCAAAGGCAATAACTCCCAATATTTAAGGCTCCCTTTCAGCAAAGGCTCAAGCACTTCATGATGTTGTAGAAAACCGAAAAGGCATCTTGGCCCTGGCTGGGTAGCTCAATTGGTTAGAGCATCAGCCTGTTATGCCAACGTTGCAGGTTCAATCCCCAGTCAAGCCTCATACAAGCTACATTTCAACCTATGAAAATAAAAGTACTATTTAAAAAAAAGAATCAACCAATGAATGCATCAAGAACTGGAAATACAGAAAAAAAATTGATGTTTCTTTCTCACTTTCTTTCTCCCTTCCTCTCTCTCTCTCTCAAACCAATCAATAAATAAAAAATTATTTTAAAAATTTTAAAGGAATCTTGAATGTTAAATTAACCAAGTATTTTTGGTTTTCTCTGAGCAAAGTTTATTCAGAGGTTGCTATATTGTCTCTAGGCATGTTGTCTGAGACTGGTTATAAAACAGAATGAGATTTCACTCCTGTGTCCTAGAGAAGCTCATTAGAACTACGTGTTTGGCTTTCTCATGTCTCAAACATTCCAAGAGACTTCAGCCTAACAAGATAAGTGTTAACCTTTTGTTTTTGGTAAATGAGCCATCTTGCTTTGAACAGAAAATATAGTGTTAGCATTCTAATGTTTAATAGGAATTTCCATTAAGCTATAATTTTATTTATATTGAAAACAGGCTTATATTTCTCACAATCCAATTGTACAATTAATGAGAATGTCATTTATTTTATTATTTTCCTCTTTAAAATGCACTGTAAGAATTAATTTATCAGCCTCCCGAAGGTAATTAACTGTGCTTTATTTTTGTTAAGTGCCCAGATATTCATAAAGTTCTTTCCCATAGTTATCTTCATTTTACAGATGGGAATACCAAAATTCAGAAAGTTCCCATTACAAAACTAAACCAAAATGTGACTGGGTCTTTGACTTTTGATCCAGTGGTCTTTGCACTTCACCACGGACGACTCATTCACATTAGTTGAGGTCTCAAATAAAAACTATACAGTGGGGCCTTGGCTTACGAGTGTCCCGACTAACGAGTTTTTCGAGATACAAGCTGTCTCTCGGCCAATTTTTTGCTTTGAGTTGCAAGCTAAAATTCGGGTTATGAGCCAGCTTCAGATACCCCACCGCTAGTTGGTGCAGCGAACGTCACAGTGAACGCCACAACATCAGCCAGCATTCAATTCATTGTAATGGTGAAAATTGATTTGACATACGAGTAATTTGAGTTATGAGCTCCATCACGGAACGAATTAAACTCATAAGTCAAGACCCCACTGTAGTTCTCTTCAGTGTCATGTGACATGAGGATGCTTTGTAGGATGTGATTTACCACCACAAATAAATATAGGAGGCAGTGCTAAGCCAGCCCTACAAACATAGGGCTGGAGAAATGAGGCCTCCCAAAAAAAGAAACCCCCCAATGGGTCTATTTAAGGCATCTCAGATATAAAGGAGCGGTCTGGAAATAGCAACTTATCCCACAGAGCAAAACCTCCATGGTAATAACTGGGCTTATCATAAAGGGAGAGTCAGTAGGTTGAGTACTGGAGCCTTTGAGAATGAAAGATCCTCAGTGGCAGTAGGAAAAATATCGACCTCATATTCAGTCAGGTTTCATAATGAACTGTTTACCTGAGGACAGGTGCACTGCAGTATTCTCCTAAATCTTGGGCTACTTCCTCAGCAGCCTTCACATCCTCAGTCATCTTTTTTTTTCCTTTTTTTCCCTGCCTGCCAACCTTGGGCAGAGTCCAGCCATGAGGTCACTTCATAGCTTCACTCACCCACTACATGCAATGTCTCCCAAGTGTCAGCCCTAAGCCTAGCTATGACCCTTGATCCTGTGCAATGGACCCAACCTGTTACTACCCACGAGTGTGGTGTGTATCAGGATTTTTCCCCAAAATTCCACATCCACCAGGATCACCCTCCCCAGGAAGATAGCAATAGAATCTAGAATTCTTGGAAGGAGGAGATGTAGAGAAAATTGAAGGCTAGTCAGGAAGCTGGCAAAAACATAGAGATGAGAGTAAAGGAGTATGGGGAGCAGTAAAGAGAATGATCTGAAGGGTACAGAGGTTGATGTTGAGTAATAAGAGGAAAAGAAGCTAACTACCCAAGCTGGGAACTCAGAAAGGGCCTGGGCTTTCAAGAGTAAAAGACTGGGTTTTATCCAGTGAACAACCAAAAAGATGATGGACAAAGTCACCTGTATTAGGAAGATTAATCAGACTGTACAGGCCATAGGAAATGAGCAGGAAAACACACTCAAATGTTAAGGTTTAAGGGAGGCATTAAGTGGCTTGACAGACAAGGCAAGAAGAAACTAAGCAGAAGGAGTTTACTAATCATGAGGACAAAAAGGAAAAAGACAGTAGAAAATAACTGTAAGTTTTGTGTATTCACGCCACTGTGAGAAATGCAGATGCGCAATGAATGCAGACCCATTGAATTGGAGGTTCTGAGGGTGGTATCAGATGTGTGCTTTCTAGAGGCTCTGCAAGCTCACCATAAAAAACCTCTAGCCTACAGAGCAAAGCAGACAGGTTCTGGGCTCACTACCTTTCAGGCGGCCTTCTCAGACTTCTGAGCCAGTCAGATTTACATCGTGCTGAGGGATGTCATGATATACACAGAAGACGGTGGCAGCTAACAATTGCCCAACTCTTACGAATAGTAGAAGCCTAATTGTGCTTCTGACTTCAAGAACAAGAATTCAGTGAGGAGGAAGATGACTATGGACTGGGACAGCAGTTGGAAAGGACTTCTAGAGGAACTGAGACATAGTCCAGACCTTACAGGGCGAATGGTAGCCCAAGACAGGGGGACAGTGAAAGTGGACAAAGCATTGTGTAGTATTGTTCTGAGCAGGAGAGTGTGGGCACTACATTTAGAGCAAGCATGTCAAACTCAAAGGCTAACACGGGCCAAATAAACAAGGTTTAAGTTTATGTGGGCCACAAAAAAACAAAAGCTTCCATTTTCATAGAAACATAGATTTATTTCGATAGAGACATGCTGAATACAAAGGGCTAAAATAAATCAGTGATTGTTAACATAAAATAAGAGAACATTTTAATAAAAGGCATTATTTTTTCTTGAACATTAACTTACCAGACACTGAATAACTGCACAAATTAATAAGCATAATGCAAATAAACCTATTTTTCTTGTTCTTCAAAAGCAAAATATTTCCTGTGGTGCACACAAAACAAGTCAAGCCAAGATTAATGATGTGGCAGTCGGCTGTTAGAATATTCACTGCTAGCCCTAACCTGTTTGGCTCAGTGGATAGAGCGTCAGCCTGCGGACTGAAGGGTCCCAGGTTCGATTCCGGTCAAGGGCATATACCTTGGTTGCGGGCACATCCCCAGTAAGGGGTGTGCAAGAGGCAGCTGATCGATGTTTCTCTCTCATTGATGTTTCTAACTCTCTATTCCTCTCCCTGCCTCTCTGTAAAAAAATCAATAAAATATATTTAAAAAATATTCGCTGCTAGTATTAGTGGTGAGAAATGGTGCGCCTGCGTGCAAGGCGCATAAGGGAAATGAATGCAACACGATTACAGTAATCAGTATTGGTGAACATTGTAGTTTGTTATTAATAATTATGTATAATAGGATATTGTAAAAATTAAGTTAGGAAATTTTTATTAAAACGTTTCTTACATACCGTTATATGGGCTGGGCCACAAAAATATTCATTGTGGGCCGCAAGTTTGATGTGCTTGGTTTAGAGAACAGATGAGGCCAGGTGAGCCTCCCTCTGAGCTGCTCCTCTGTACAAGGCTGTTGATCATAATGAAGGCTATGGGGCAAACACATTTACCTTTACTTCTCCCATCTCTCCTATTTGTATCTGGTCCTCTTCAACCACATAATAGCTTTTGTTTTCACACACTGTTTGTACAATATACATTAAATTCACTCACACTAAGATACAAATGACACATAATCCCTTATGTTATTCTGGCATATTCTGTGTAGTGAAATGTCTTATAGAAAACTTATTTCATTCTCTCTACAGCTCAATAGAGTGGGGAGGTCAGCAACTATCCCCTTTTATAGATAGGGAAAGAAAGGCCCAGAGAATCTAATTGGCCAACGCCTAGCACAGGGCTACTAAGTGGAGAACCGAGCTGGGAGATGTGGGCACAGTTTTCTCTCTGACACCCTGTTCTGCATCTTGCAGCAGTATTTTCATTTCAACAGGGATCAGAGCCCTGTGCTAAAGGCATGTGGCTCTAACTTAGGACTTTGGACATCAATCTGGAGATAGAATGATTCTTTCAGCAAAGCCCTGAATCACCCTACATAAGTTATGCCTTTGTCTTCACATGACCTGCTGGCTGTGTGATCATAGGCAAGTCAGAGAAAATGATCTGAGCTTCACTTAACCTGTCATCAAATGGAAATAACTATGACTGCTTCATAGGGTTTTTCTGAGGATTTCCTAAAATACACCTGGATAATGTCTTGGCCACATAGGAAGCCTCAGTAGACCCCATTTTCTCTTTCCCTTCTCTTCCCCATTATACTTACACACAAGGCAAGCCATGCCAAGTCAGAACCACAGGCTCACTCAGACCCTGCAAACACCTTTATTGCCCCCTCTTTGTTTCTGCTTTTAGCCCTTTCTCTCTCCCCTCCATCCCTGTGTCTAGCCACACCAGCCTCCCTTCACTTCTCAGACTAGCCAAGCATTCCCCTCCTAGGTACTTGTGTAAACGCTGGTTCCTCTGCCTAAATCCACTCTGCCCTACCCCAGCCCCCCTTGCTCTTCATGCCCCAGGTGTCAGCCCAGGTGTCACTTCTTCAGGAAGGACTGAAGAGGGTTCCTCCTGTGATTCTCTCTCACTGCATCCTGTCATTGTCATTGTTATTACGATTTGTAAGTATATGTAAATTCTATGCTTATGGGTTTAATGTCTGTTTTCTCCACTATACTACAGACTCCCATGTTGGCTACTATCTTCATAGTACCCAGTATGGAATCTAACACATACGCATGTTCCATAAATATTTTTTAGCTGTTTCTTGGATGAATGCTATTCTTTTCTCTCCGCTTTGGGATATACTCCTATAGCCTCCTCACCAAACCATATAGTACATTACACACACACACACACACACACACAATTCCTATGGAGCCCATATGCCTGACCATTTCCTTCATTTTCTTTCCCCAACATTTATTCATACATTATCATGAATTAGGTTGCATTCGCTGGTTGTTTCATGCTTCCCTAATCACATTGTTAATTTTTCAAGGGCTAAAAGTCCATCAAGATCTTTTTTAGAATCCCCCATAAACCTAGTAGAGTAGCCGGGAACATGTTTCGGTGCTTAGTAATTTCTTGATGAATGAATGAATAGATTAATCCGTCAATCCTAGTATATTCCTTTCGCACAGAGAAAATCTTCACATAGCAAATATGGAGATACCATTGCAGCAAAACAATTTCTAACCACAGCCCACTGCTGTAGTCCCTCTTCTTGGGTTACTATTTTGAGTTTCAATAAGAAGGAAACAATCTTATTTTGAAAGGCTGAATTGGAAGCTTGCATTTTCCCCAAAATTTAATAATAGCACTAGTAACGCCTTACACTTTTCTCTGGCCTTATTTCAGGTGTGACTTTGAAGCTCCCAGTTAAGTTTCTGTTATGATGTAATAGCAAGACCAATATCACCAAACCCACCCAAAGGAGGGGTCACAGAGCAGGGGCGTCAGTCTAGTCTAAGCATGTTTTCAGAATCAGTCAGTCCAATTCAGAAATGGGCAGAGAACTTGAAGGAAACATCAGGTTACTTGATGTTTAAGTACTACTGTACTTAAACATCTGGGGTCCTGATAGTAAACCCTGGTAACTTTGATAAGAAATAGCTTTTGATCTTGCTCACTTTCTTCACTCACAATTAGAACAAAACAAACTCATGTGGGTAAAATGTTATGCCCAAAACAATAACTTACTGAATTGGGGTTTCAATTTCTACATTTTTCCTGTTATTCTGAGGCAGAAACTTCCGTTTACTGGTTGCCCTGCCAGTAAACCTCAGATTGCTGAGTTGCTCATGTTATCAGTACTTTTAATGGTTAACAACAACAAATATAAGCATATATGTGTGCATATTTATATTTACTATTTGTTGTAATATATGCATTTTAATTTACTTTGACAATTGTCTAGCAGGTTCTGTCTAGTTAGTAGTATCTTCCCCCAATTTTGTATTTGATCTTACAGGTCAGGAAAAGGAAACCAAGTTTTGCTAAATACCTATGAACATTGTCAAGGTTGGTATGAGGTCTGTTCTTCGTGTGGTGTCACCTAATCACCTATTTTCCTACCCCTGCTTGGCTTTGTGACAATTAAAAGAGCCTGTAAGAGGAGACCGCTAATGAGTGTCCTTCTATCCCCATCTCTCAGGCTACAGAAGTCCTGAAGGTTGATGGAGGGCCATGCTATTCAAACAGCAGGTGTGGCTGAGACAGAAGCTCCTGGTGCTGGGAAGCCTTGCTGTTGGGAGTCTCCTGTATCTAGTCGCCAGAGTTGGGAGTTTGGATAGGTAGGTGATTAAAAACATACCTATGCCCATGTGACTTTATGTGTTTCTTGACTTAAACTTCCTTAGGACATAATTTTAAACCTACCCCTTTGTTTTCCTCCTTCAAAACTCCCAAGAAACATGCTTTTTTTTGCAGTATTGATTTTGATCTATTGAGCCTTTAAAACAGAGATCCAAGTTGTTCCGACCAAGTGTTTGTCAGGATCCATTTGTATTCTGTGTGCATTGACATTTATTTTCAGAGAAGGGATAAAGCCATGTACAGGAGAAATGTCATTTTCTAGAGCTCACTGTGGTCTGTGTGCATCTGGTTGTTGACCTCTAGCCATAGCAAAATGGTGATGATGTAATTAGGTATCTTCATTTTGAAATTTATGAGTGAGCCATTAATGTGCTACCAGGAGAGTTAAAATTATGTTTGCGCCTATAAAGGAGCTCATCAAATTTGGAACCCACTGCCCTGGAAAGATGGCTGCAGGCGTGGGGAGTTTGAACTATGTTAATTAGCTCTGGTTTCCAGGAGTTGAATGTACCAGACAAGGAGCCTGTCACTCAGAGTAATTGCCAAGAAACCAATGTAAAATCTATGGAGAGGAAATTTACAGAGCAAGTGGTTGGCTCTAAATAAGCAAACAGTTGAAAGGTGCTCAACCTGCAGAAGTCAAGCAATATCATCCGACTTCACAATGAATACCTGTGGGCTGTCCAACATCCAGCATGACTGTGAAGGACAGAGAATTGCATTTATGAAATGTGGAATTTCCTTCTTTGCGCTTTAAATTAACTATTGCTCTGGAGAGGCTGACGTATGTTCTCCGTGCATTCGGTTCCCATTTTCTGTGAAAATGCAGCCACACTTTAAAAGGAAAATATCTCCCTTGCAGTTTTCCTTTTCTAATCTATAGATCTTACCACAATAGATATTTATCAAATAATATAGCAGTGTTCTTTATTTTCCTTCTGCCAGTGTCAATTTTGACTGGTAAAGTGAACCCCTTTATGTTTTTCATTTCAAAAATCCAGAATAAACATCCACATACTAGTTGCTAACTATGCAAAATGGTATGATCCAGAGCTTATCACTGACTTCAAGTAGTTCCCTAAAGGTAGTGTTTAGTTATTAGTGAAAAGCCTTAAGGTGGTATTATTGTCCTATGTCCATAAAGGAACTTTTATATCAAGTTCTTCCCAATCATTTCCTTTTTATTGAGTAATTGATCTAATGTTCATTAATGTATTAGTTACTTAGTTGATTCTTTTCATTTTTCACCTGGTCTATAGTCTCAAATGGGATCGTTTTTATAAGGAGTTAGATTGCTTATTGGGCCTTCTCAAAAATTCTCAATTGAGAGTCTGAGCGGATTGCATCTAAAATTTACACATGCTGACTTACACTTACCTTTTAGTAACTCTGAATGGGAGGCTGAGATCTGTTACTTCTACTGTCCCTTCCAATCCTTAAAGTTCATATTATATAGTCTGAGCCCCATGCTCAGAATCTACTCTTCAAGAAGTCAAAATAAGGTGAAATTTTCTCCAATTTTGAGTTATGGAGTCCAACAAGCAATTGTTCTGCAGGCTATGAGCTCCCAAGGTAGCAGGTAGAAAGAAGAAGGAAAGAAGAAAAATGGCCTTTTCTCGCGGTAGGAAAGGGACTCTATTTCAGCCTCTCTCAGCCAGAATTCCTCAAGAGAATTAAGTCCTAGAGAAAAGCATTTGACTATTGCCGCAATTCTTTCAAAAATGGCAGACACTAGCATCATTCTAGATGCACAATAGAGAAGTCCATCCAGTATATCAATGGATGTCTTGGGGAATTAGTGCTTACCTGTCAATCAAGAAGAGCTAAAAGATGAATTTGTGATGTCCCAAACAATGTCACAATTAAAAACATCTTTGACTCTATGTGTGTTGCTACTTTTATATCTTCCATTTAGAACTCCAGCATTAATCTTTACAAATTTGTAAAAACAAAATTTATGTTTCTCTAACATAGTGACTGTGATAAACTTTTTTTATAGTATTCCATGTTTTCACAATGAGCATGAGTTGTGTTTAAAATCACAAAAAAACAAGCACCACAAAAAAGTAAACTACATTTATATTTTTGCTTAAGCATTTGGATAGACAGCTGTTTACACAGAGCACAGGCCAAGCCCTTTCTCCTCAGCTCTGCAGAATGCCCTGGCGTGACCTTGAGGATTTCCTTTTCTCCTTCTAATTGTAAACATTACAGAACATAAGAAAGGTACAATAGAGTCTCTTGGGAAATGTAAGAAAGAAATTATTGCCACAGAGAAGTGGACATAGACTCCAAATTATTGGAATAACTAGAGGTTTCAGTTGAAGGAATTGGCTTAACAATCATTTTTACCACTATTCTACCCTTTACCAAGGTGGTTAAAATGCCTTTCAAAATAAACCTAGGGAAATTATAATGAATTTCAGTTCAATTCCAGACTATACCCCAAAGGAAACTCAATGTACTAACCATATATATTAGCCATGCCAAATTAAACAGCCACTCCAGTCTAATAGCATTATAATTATCACCACACCTTTTTCTCTGAAAGAAGCAGTGGTGGTGGTTCATTATTTAAGGCAATGTTGAAGTGGGAATCCTCCTTTCTGGCTCCATTGATTGCACCCTTCCTTCATGAGCTTGAGCTCCTGATTTAAATGGACTTGGCAGTGAGGACCTAAGGTTTCTGGCTCTGCTAAGGCCGTGTTGATTTCTGGTCCCAGGTGTGGTAAGTGATATACAGCACTTGCTGATGGCATTGGGTTTGTTCCTACATTCAACCAAGTAAAAACATAACCCTGACCTCTTTAGATAGAAAGAAAAAGAAATACAGCACTCTTCCAGCTGTCCCTAAGGTCAACGACAGAAATTCTCAAGAGGATGAAAAGCTCAGCAAGTGCCAATTTTGGAATTTTTCAGATTGATGATGCAAATAACCAAGGACAAAGACTGCAACCTCTTTTCAAATTATATACCAATAGTTTTTAAGAGCCGTGTGAGTGCTGCAAGATAGTAATACACATGAAACCCAAAAGACTAGCCTCCTAGCTGCCCTTCGGTCTCCCAGCTAAAGATCATAATCTTCCACCTTTCACATTCTCTAAATAATGTTAACTGGTGAGCTGTTAAAAAGCTATTAGTATGACTGGTGTCACTTGTCTGTCCTGTACTGTGTGAACATAAGTACATGCCGTAGTCAATTAAGTGCTTGGTGAATAAAAAATTTAAGGAGCACTAATAAAAAAATCCCATCAATTATGTGTGCTCCATTTAATACCGTGTTGCTTAAAATAAAATTTCTCAAACATATGTTCATTATGGATTGTGTCAGGCAGGGAAACAGAGGTTTTATTTATGCATTTAAAGTCTTCCTCTGACTGGTGAACCAGAAAAATGAGAATCTAGTTGCAGTGAGGTTCTTACAGTGTTTCTCTGTTGTTTGCAGGCTACAACCCATTTGCCCCATTGAAGGCCGATTCGGAGCCCGCGGGCAGGCTGAATTCCCTCTCCGTGCCCTGCAGTTTAAGCGCGGCCTGCTGCACGAGTTCCGGAAGGGCAACGTTTCCAAGGAGCAGGTTCGCCTCCATGACCTGGTCCAGCAACTCCCCAAGGCCATTATCATTGGGGTGAGAAAAGGAGGCACCAGGGCCCTGCTTGAGATGCTGAACCTCCATCCAGCTGTGGTCAAAGCCTCTCAAGAAATCCACTTTTTTGACAATGATGAGAATTATGCCAAGGGCATTGAGTGGTATAGAAAAAAGATGCCTTTTTCCTACCCTCAGCAAATCACAATTGAAAAGAGCCCGGCATATTTTATCACAGAGGAGGTTCCGGAAAGGATTTACAAAATGAACTCATCCATCAAGTTGCTGATCATTGTCAGGGAGCCAACCACAAGAGCTATTTCTGATTACACTCAGGTGCTAGAGGGGAAGGAGAGGAAGAATAAAACTTATTACAAGTTTGAGAAGCTGGCAATAGACCCTAATACCTGTGAAGTGAACACAAAATACAAAGCAGTAAGAACCAGCATCTACACCAAACATTTGGAAAGGTGGTTGAAATACTTTCCAATTGAGCAATTTCACATTGTGGATGGAGATCGCCTCATCACAGAACCTCTGCCAGAACTTCAGCTCGTGGAGAAGTTCCTAAATCTTCCCCCAAGAATAAGTCAGTACAATTTGTATTTCAATGTTACCAGAGGGTTCTACTGCTTGCGATTTAACGTTATCTTTAATAAGTGCCTGGCTGGCAGCAAGGGGCGCATTCATCCAGAGGTGGACCCCTCTGTCGTTACCAAATTGCGCAAATTCTTTCACCCTTTCAATCAAAAATTTTACCAGATCACTGGGAGGACACTGAACTGGCCCTAAAATAATAAGTCAGACAACACCATGTGTTGTACCTGGAGACATGCAATGTCTCCTCTAGATTAAAATATGCACTTTTCAAGACACAACTGTCAAAGTCATGTTTTCATCTCTACTTGTATATACACAGTGTGTGACCAAATATAAGACCAGTTTTTTTTCTACTGAAAATGTTCAAAATAATTTGCTGTCTGCATAGTTGCATCTTTGAGACGGGATACTAAAAGAAGAGGTGTGGTATTGGGAGAAAGTGACTTCAGCTATTCTCAAAGAGTTAGTCTTCCTTTGAGTCAGAATTTGTCACCCGCCATTTACATAAATTGAAGCCAAAAGATGAATGTGTGAAAAGTACCAATGGCTGTGAAGCTGCAGGAAGGAGAGGATTCAGTCATGCATTCTTTTCTAAGGGAAAGCTGGCTCTTTAATTCAGATGCTGGTGCCATGAAAACAGAAAATGCTATTTTCTTATGATTTAAAAGGATGTCCTATCTCATAAAATTGACATTGTTCCAAAGTTCCTGTGGTGATTTTGCACTATTGTTTTCTCGTATGGACCATGATGTCACTTGTAGCATGTCAATCATACATTGGAAAGTCCTTTCACTTCCATGTTCTATGTCAACAAAGAGAAATGTCATGTACATAATGTATATTATTGTAAATACTTGTTTCACACTAAGTAACTCTATTTTGTAAACTGAATATGGCTATTTAATTTATTGTGAAAATTAAATTTATTGTGGTATTTAAAAATGGAATGGATTAAAATTACTCTATGTGCAACTTTTCTTTTCAATTCATTTCTGTCTTACATGCCCCCTGTTTCTGGCTCCCCAAATCAAAGCTGTTTATGTGCACATTGAGAGCACCTGGAAACATGCACTTCTCCATTGGATTTCTGTACCCTTGTGAGATTTATTTATGAAGTGGAGTATATTAAAAAAGTCTCAACTATCTGGAACTCTAGTAGAGTAGCCCTCAAAGACCACTAGTGCTGCTCTGCTACAACTTTATAACAATTAATTTTCTTGAAGATGCTGCTGTGCCAGGAGAAAGACAAGAAATACTTTAACATAATCGATGCAGAGAAGAATCACAATTTTATTTGAACCTCTAACCAGAGTCAGACCGGTAGAGAAATTGAGTAAAATGAGATTAGAAAACGTGTGTGGCCTCTGTACCGAAAGCTGCTGATGCTTCAAAAATGAATACAAACTCTCCGAACTCCCCCTTTGAAATGAAAATATTATCAATGTACTCAGAAATGATCCAAGCGTGTATAGTGTTGTTATTACTAGCCTAAACATATAACTCAGATTTCCATCCAGAGAAATCCAGGGTGCTTACTAACATCAAATAGATTATATATGCTTAAATATAATTCAGACAACCATGGAAAGAGGTTGAAAAGAGGTATCAGCAAAAATAATAATAATAAAAGATGGATTTTTCCCCATCACGATTGCTTACGTTTGAGAGAGTTTAGTTCGACACCCCATTGAGAGTGCCTAGAGAAATCAACAAGTTCCGATGGATTTTTCTCTATGTGTTGTTTATCCTGTCCAGTGATTTGATGGTGAGCTTTTACAAATAAATAGCCCTTTCCCTCCCAGTGTCGGTATATATTGCTTCTCAAGCCACAGCCTTGGTAATCTTTGCTGTTTCAGTTAGCAGTGATGCTGTTCTCTCAGCATTGAGCAAGCCTGACACCGACACTGACAGGCTGGCCTCGCGCTCACTGCAATAACTCTGGAGTGAGAGTCTTTGGTCTTAATGTCAATCACATCTCCCTTCCACCATGAATGGAATCAAATATAAGGAATCTGTCATCAGATTCCCCTATGCCTCAACTCTCAGCTAATCATCAGAGGAAACTCTTTGAATACTACATTCAGGACATAATCACACATTGTCAACATTAATTTTTATTTTTTTCTTATATATTTTTATTGATTTCAGAGAAGAAGGGAGAGGGAGAGAGATAGAAACATCAATGATAAGAGAGAATCATTGATCGGCTGCCTCCTGCACACCCCCTACTGGGAATGGAGCTTGTAACCCAAGCATGTGTCTTTGACTAGAATCGAACCTGGGACCCTTCAGTCTGCAGGCTGATGCTCTATCCACTGAGCCAAGCCAGCTAGGGCATCAACATTAATTTTATTATAACTATTCCTAGAGCACTATACAGCTAATAAGTTAAACCAGTGACTGTCAAATTATGCCCCATTGGAATACTGATGTTTCAAAAACTCACCCTAGGTATTCCACCAGGAAAATTGAAAAATGGCAATCCTTTTCAAGACTCAGAGAGAAATTTTAAAAGCAATGAACAGGAGTTTCTCAGTAGTAATCTTTTGTATTCCAATTTTTCTTAAAACTTTGCTACTGCTACCAACAGTGTATATCAGAGTTCATTCTAAGATTCTATTTGACTTATGCTGACTTTTATAATTTGTTATTTTTAGCTCAATAAGCCAGCATTTTTGCCTCACATTCAGGAAAAAAAAGTGCTGCAATTTCCAGTTATTCCACTTCCTAAATAAATTTGAGGATTGTTTTAAAGTTTGGAGCCTCCCCACAGAGATCTGGCCTGGGGGAATGGGGTGGATTTGGAGGCAGGTTTCATTTCACTGAAACAACAAACAAATAAACAAAAACCACAGCTGCAGCTGATTGGCTAGGCAGAGAAATAAAAAGCCTATGACATAATAGCACACTTCCACAGGAGGCTTTAAACCTCCTTGTTTAGAAAAATGTTTCCTGTTGTCATCAAACAGGGACGGGGGACCTCTGGAGAAATCGTCAGCTCATTACAATAGCCCCACCAGGGTTCTCTTGAGTAAGTTATTCCTTCTAGATCATGAAAACCATATTCCCTCCAGAGGCCTGGTTGGCACCATATGGCTTTGTGAAACAGTTCTAGCTGCAAAGAGAAAGAAACCGTGTAAGCACTGGTGAAGTTCCTGCTGGACCATAAAGCTGAAATTACACCATTTGGGAAGCCAAGAAATTCCAATTATACAAACAGGAATTAGAGTCTCAAGGGAGTGAGAGACCCCATTGAGAGTGCCTAGAGAACAGAGGGGAAAAGAGACACACAAACCCATAGACAAGACATCCCAAATTCCAAGTATATCACCTACTCCCTTGAAATCACCTCACTCAAACCCTCAAATGATTAAGGTGATGACTTTTCCAACTAATTGCCTACTAGTGAAGGAAAAATCAAAGACATTAGGCTAATGTGTGATAAAACAAAGGCATGTAAGTCCCTCATATTCACGTCTGATCTGAGATTTGGGACCTTTTGAGTTGATGGGCCAGTAAGAACATTCATTAATTTCTAGTCCAGACCCACTGAAGTTGACAGAGCCAACGAGAGCACTACTTGGGGTGCTGCGCCTGGCACAAGGGTCCTGCAGGAAGACAAGCTCAAGAACCTGTGGGAGCCTTTCTGGGACACGGGCGAGGTACTGCTGCTAAGGGAAGGTGGGAACTCGGGACAGTCAGGTGCAGTCCAAATCCCAGCGTTGACAATATGCTTCTGCTGTGTCCAAGCAGCTTGCTCAATAGGACTGCCTTCCTAAGCCCAATTTAAGAATTTTCCAGGGATGGAAAATTTCAAATGATTATAAATAGTGTCTTCCTGCTGAAGTTTTTGTGCTCTTTCCGCATACTCAGCAGCCATTTTCCACTTAGGAGAATAGTCTACATTACAGTCTAAGCAAAAAAAAAAAAAAAGAAAGAAAAAGGAAAAAAAAATTTTGCTGAAAACATTCTTCTTAAAAATGATGAAATACAGCAAAATCATAGCAATTTGGGCTAACAAGGTGAAAATATAGAATATATGAAGGCAAATTAATTGCTATTATTCTCTACTACACAAAGTGCCAAACTATAATAACAATATATTGAAAAACATCTAATTGTACCTGTTTTATCAAATAAAAACCTCTTAATTGCTATTTTTTCCAAATTGGTGTTACTCGAGTATTTCAATAACAGTCTTTCCTCTTAAGGAAGTTATGCATGCCCCCAAGTATCTGCTTATCAATTTTTATAGCTAGTGCAAGGATGAAATTTGGGCCAAAATATGATCATTTGGTAAGGGTCTAATAAATGGTACCTTACTGCATATCTCAAAAAAACATTGTGCACTTTGAAAGATTTATTTATAATTACATTTGATTGTACCTTTGAGGAATAAGAATGACATTTCATAATGATTAGAGAGGGATTGAGGTGTTGAACAGGCATACTACACTGATAGCAATATGTATTTCCTATAGCTGGGACGTGATTGGTGTCGGTCACACAAAACAAGCTGCAGCAGGCCTGCCTGCTCCCTTATCGGGCTAGTTCTGTCACTTCTGAATTTATGAACATAAAAGTCTCCAAGTCTTAGGGAACTGTTGGTAAAAGGGTTGTTTCTAAACATACATGTTATCCCCCTTTAAAGAGTCCACTGAGAAGGTGAGTCACTCCCAGTAGACTGGGAACATCATTTCAAAGAGCTGACTTGCCTCTGGCTTACCCTGCAACATTTCTAAATTCACACAACTCTGCTTTGCATTTCCTTTCCTTTAATGACACCAGGGGAAACTCTTGAAGGCCAACTACAAAACTGCCTGTTCCTTTAGTGAGGGCACTAAAGGTTTGAACTTAGAGTATAAAAGAACTTGTAATTGATGCATGGCGGGTCATCTAACACTAGGTCCTGCAAATAAATTTCAAGGTAAGGCCTTCCAGCAACACCAGATGACAATGTGACCACACCAAACAGAATTAATAGTATAAATGGGTGGGTTAAAGTTTAGAAGCCAGAGGAGGGAGCAGCTAACTCAACCTGGAGGAGTCAGGAGGACGTCAGTGAGACGATGCTTAAACGGAGCACAAGATCATTGTACCTCACAAGGCAGACAAGCAGGAAAAATGGGCTCCAGGATGAGGCAGGTAGAACAAAAGCATGAGGTCCGGAAGAGACTAGGAAGTCTACAAAGCTGGACAGTGGAGCATGCGTGAGAGAAGATGAAAGCTAAGAATGGAAACCATGCCAGAGCTTCCCAGGTCTTGAGCAAGCCCTACCTGCGGGCACACCCCACCACTTGGGATGAGGGGCCCTTGCCTGCCTTCTTGGATCTGCACCTGTTGATCCGTAGAAGCTACATATTTAAGAATGGAGATGAGATGATGACATTATTCTAAGTCTTCTTTCAAACAATTGGTGCCCAGAGAATTGTAGTTTTCCTGCCCACTCTTGTTTACTTTTTGGATCTCTCACTTCTATACCTGGCCAGCAGCTTTGCTAAAGCTGATGGAATCCTTCAGATCTGGCTCATTTTTTCATTAGGACTGAGGCAAAGGTATCTTTTGAAAGCCAGCTCTCTGCATATGTAGTCTGTAGAGGTTATATTGTCCGTCTGCCACTGAGCATCTCACTATAAGTCCACTCATCCTGAAACCAGGACGCATGGGAATGAGAAGAAATCAAACACAACATTCTCCCACAAGAAAGGCATAATAATAGTGTTTTCAAAAGTGTGCAGGGAATGTACTTGTTTCATTGGAAACAAAGGATATGTAAGCTAAATTTTTTTTTTGGGGGGGGGGGTGGAATGGACAAGTCAATTTGTCTCTCTGGGCTTCAGTTTTCTATTAAATAAAATGGAAGAATCAGAATAAGGGGGACGTTTAAGGTATTTCAATATGATGTTGTACCAATAGATTAAAGTGATGATTGGAGCATTCCTTGTGACATTGTCACAAAATCAG